ATGGGGCAATTGGTTCCCAGCACTCCATCTTGCCATGAGTTCTTCCTTTGTTTAATTCCATTCCTAGTTGTTACAAAGCAATTTTTTAGTATACAATGCATTTTCTAGATTGCCATGATCAAATAACCAGATAGGGAGCAAATCAAAATGCAGATTTCAAATCATCACTGTCCATAAAATTCGACTTCCAAAGAAGAAAGACTGCTAAAACTCGACATTGATTAATGCAGACACAAAAGGTAGCTAAAATGTAAGAACAAATTCGTTTAAGAAATGCAGTGATAGGACAGGAGAGAAAAATCACCAGGTCAAAAGGAAGGGCTGATCCAGCTTGTTAATGAGGTTGAGGATAATGTTGTCATTAGTCACAACATCAAGTCTAGGACCAGGAAACTGGCCATTGATAAGGATAACCTGTACGCACAAAACCCAAAAAACAAAAAAACGTTTAAGCAAAACCCAAATCCAAACCATCTTAAACCATCCATAGCATAGCAGCAACTAGCATGAGTTACCAACCTGTTGAGGCACATCAAGAAGTTTAACAGTCCCATAAGTGACAGTCCATGTATAATACCTATAAGGGTCATCTGCATTGACTAAAGAAACGCTCAAAACAGCCAAAACTCCACATAACAAGTGAAGCAAGACTGTGTTTCCCATTGGATCTGCAAGTACAGCAATGCCACTAAAAGTCAGCTAAGAACAAAACCAAAATAAGACATCATTCTCATAGAAGGCTAACTAAATGTAGAAAGTAAAAGATTGAGAAAGGAAGATTACTGGATTTGAGAGAGTCGGTCTGTTCCAGTTGCAGTTCTTTTGGGGGTGGTCGCAAGTCACAGCTCACAACCTGGTAGAAGTGGACCGGTCTGGTCAGGCTTAAATAAAGACAGCCCGCGAAAACGAGCTACGCTAGTTAATATTTATTTTTTTCATGCATTAAATTGAGCTGATATTCGGCGCATTTCACGCGTTTTCGCGTTCCAATCATAATCCCTTTAAACCAAAGATTAATCATTTCTTTTCTTTTTCTATTCTTTTCAGGTTAAAAGTTTTAGTAGTTGTGATTTGGAAAAGAAATCAGACCAAAACCACCCTCTGATTGCGCTCATCAGCTTTAACCTTCTTTCTTCTTTATATTTTTTTCAATCACTAGTAATGATCATTGGTTTTTTTAATGGTTTTTCTTTGAATTATGGCATTCGTTAAAAAAAAATTATTTTGATTTTTGGAATTAGGAATGTCATTTAGAGTAATTATAAATTAGTCCCTCTTGTTTTGAGAAACTAATTAATTAATCTCTTTGTTTTAAAAAAAACTAATCATTTAATCTTTTATATTTTAATTTCCATCAACAAGTTCAGTCTTTTCATCAGTTTTATTAGATTAATGATTTTTTATCTCAAATTTTCTTTTTGTATGTCTTATTTCTCTCATTCTGCTACTCTCTTCTCTCTTAAAAAAAAAAAAAAAAGAGAATAATTTAGAAACAAAAACCATTAATCTAATAAAAAAATGATGGAAAGACTAAATTATTGACGAAGTTAAAATATAAATGACTAAATAATCATTTAAAAAAAAAACTAATTAATTCGTTTTTGTAAACATGAGGGACTAATTTATAATTTACTCGTGTAATTTATGATTCTGCAACTGCATGTGATAATAGCTGCTATCTATGACCACATGGGGTGGGATATCAATAATCCACCCAATGGTTCATTTTTATTTTCCCAAAATTTCGATTCCTTGGAAACAGTAGACTGTAAATGCTTTCATTGTTTCTCCACTGCCTATAAAATAAAATATTAAATAATATCAACAACAATAATAGAATAGAAAAAAAGTAAAAGGGTAGCACAATAAAATTACCAATTGGATCCCCATCCATCAAATATTATCCAATTAACACCCATTTTATGACAAAAGCATCATATTTCGAGACAAATAGGTCCACAGCTTTTCTTATTTCAAAGGAAACAAATTTTAAAAGGGGGTTTATCGGGTGATATCCAATAAATATAAGACTCAATTGAAAGTTTTATTGTTTGAGAATTAAATGACAATTTGCCATAGATATATTGATTATCCCAAAAAACAAATTAACGAGTCATATTTATATATATATATATAAAAGAGCCTAAAAAATGCGAGATTTTTACAATTTAAACATTACACGTTGCTACTCATTTATGCTATAAATTAAGACTCATCTGTATTGAATTTAAATCATGAGATGATAATTTATCGATAAGTAAGTATTGACTTGTAAAATAGGTTTAAGATTTAATCTTTATAACTAAGACTTTTAGAAATTTATTTTCAAATGCCCAAAATCATATGTTAGGGAGTGTATTTTAGTCACGTTAAAAGAAAAAATAATAAATAAAATATGCAAAAATTAATACGAAAACACTCTTATTAATGAATGAATCATTAAAAAAAAAAAAAAAAGAGTTTATCATTCATTCGTTGCAAGAGGAACCATGCACTATCATTAATTCTTCATACCCTTCCCTTTGTATTGTCAGGCCAGTTAACTCTATCCATCCGATTTTAATACCACAGCTAACAAAAGACAATGCTTGCATTTCCTCACAGGCGCTTCAGGTACTACTTGAATCCAGCTAAGATTTAGGTCAGCATACAGCTAGCTAAAGGTTCATTTGAAATTCAAAGTGAATCGTGCCCATCAAACTTGGACTCTGGTCGACCAAACCTACATAAGAAAACACCTTTTGCTCATGATTGAAGAAACCTTGAAGTGGAAGAGGAAGTTTCCTTCTATCCATGAATCCATTCGAGCGATATCTCCTTTCTATGCAGAAAATTTATAGGAATAATAGTACTCTTGTCTGGTAGAATCTACACTGGAAAAACAAAAGGGAAACGTCAGACCCTTTGCTCAATTGGGTCTCCAACCTGTATTTTTCACCAATTGAGTCCTCATTATATCTAGTAATCCTTCCATCAAAAAGATACACCCAGTGAGTCTCTCATTAAGAAAAGGCTTTAGTCACGAAAGAATCTCCAATTGAGAATTCTCGGATACGTTGGAACTCGTTTGTTTAAAATTTAGTTTGAGGATCTAATTGAGAGAAAGGTTATAGATTGAGGACTAATATGAAGTAACCACAAAAGAAAATGAGAGAGAAAATCCGGCGACGAGGGGCACCCACGTGAGAAGCTGGCGACTGGGGTTTAAGCTTTTGACTCCAAAACGCCAAGTGGGTACCACACGGATTTCCCATTGCGCGTGACACGCCATTCAATGACAGCAAAAAAAAAAAAAAACAGAGAGATAAAATGGAACAAGAGGTAGAAGATGACCCAAAAGTCAGCCACCGTTTTGGAGTGGAGCCCGGCCTCTGCCTGTAGTGATGAACAATAATGTTTCCGGCATGAGAAAACGGGCTTTAGGTGGGGTTAGGACCCTACCACCGTTTAAAAGCCTTCTCTATGCCCCCAACGCTACCTGACCAATGGATAGGGTGTCATTATTTGGAGCAGCAGTAGTGCTTGAATTACATATGGGTTAGAAGTTCAGTATATCCTTTTCTAGCATGCCTTTTCCTTCTTTTTCTGTTTCAAATTTTTTAATCTTATTGATTTTCTAATTTTTTCAATTATCATATTTTTATATTTTTAATTATGTCTATATTTAATATTTTTAATTAATTTTTTAGATCACGAAGATAAAAATAACGAAATAAAAAATATCGAGAGATGTCTTCATTATTTAAAAAAATATCAGAAGGATTAAATATAATTATAATTAAAAATAAATAGATATAATAGTTAAAAAATTTAATAGAGAAACAGCGATTAAGAAATTTAAAATAGTCGAGGGACGTATTGAACCTTTAACCCAATTGCATCTCATCTCATGTACTTATGATATATTTTGCCACTGGAAATTGTAATTTCACCCAAATACTCATAGCATGACCCGATTCGGTTGGGTCGGTTTTTATAAAATTTAATTTGATTTGATTGGTCACGTGAAAATGTTATCCGTGTTCGCGTATAGGAAGTTGATGGGTTTACTTATCCTACTACGCAATCCAGATTGATCCAATGATTTTACAACACACACAGGTATTTGCCAATGTATCGTTCAACTGTTTTATAATATCATTTTCTCATTCTGTAATTGATTTTTTGAACCATCAAATAAAATGTCAGACTTTATGAATAATTTCACATGAATTTTGAGATTATTTTATTATTTTATTTGAGTTTTAAAATATATAAAATTAATTTTAACTTCATTGAAAATTATTCAAGACATAAAATTGAATTATATTTCAATATTTAATATGTTCATGACACATAAAAAATATAATTAAATAATAAAAATTCATATAATAATAAAATAAATTTATTGTAAATTAAAATAGATAAAAAAATAAAACTTTTGAAATTATCCTATTATATAATAATATGACTAAATTATAAATTAATCTATCTAGTTTTAAAAACAAATTAAATAGTTCTTTTAGTTTCATAAACTAATTCATTAATTCCTTTAATTCCTCTCGTGTCCTTTTTCAAAATTTTTTTTTTTAAGAAATAGAAAAATAATAAATAACTAAATACTATGGAATGATTGATGGAAATTTTTTTTAAACATTTTAATATCAAATCAAGAATTATCAACATTGATTAAGAGACTAATTAAATAGTTCTTGCAACTAGAAGGACTGTTTAATTCGTTTTGCAAAACTAAGAATTAATTTTTAGTTTTCTCATAAGGATATTAAGCCATTAAAAAAAAAAATCCATTATTGGAGGCCAGATAAGTATTTTCAATAAAAAGAAGCATACTCCAAAACCAAAACCAAAACCAAAACATATTTTGGTTTTGTATAATCCGATCATTAGAAGAAGATCATCTCTTTCAATAAAAAGCACTCACTCCACCAATCTCTTCGCTTGACAACAAAAAACCTCGCAATACTTGAGGTTCCACTTTTCCAATACCATCAGCGATCATCATGAACGAAGTCTGCCAACTCAAAGAACTGGTAATAAAAAATCAGTCAAACCTCTTTTGTTTTTCTTTCTGGGTTTTTCTTGATTTTTAAGTTTGAATTAAATTAAAATTGTTTTTTTTTATTTTTTTATTTTTACAGGAAGTTGAGCACTTTGAGATACGAGAAGTTCTACGTTGTGAGTGAATTTTAGAAACCGGGTTTTGTGTTTTGATCAAATTTGAGGTTTTTAAGTTGTTAAAGTTTTGGTTTTTGATGTTATTAGTTAGTTTACATGTTTTGCGTGCACTTTATTTTTGATGAGGTGAAATTGGTTGCAGGCATATTACACACGATCGTGTTTCATAGAGCTTTGGGTCTTGTCCGGCCTAAAGACATTGATTTGGAACTTTTTGACATTACATATGTGAGTGATTCTACATTCTTTCAAGTTATTGCTTTATTTTCCTTGGATGAAAGCAATTTAGAGCTTCATGATGATGTTCGTGGAAGTTTGAACTTCGTGTAAGAACTAGTGATGGAAGACTATATTACCCATGAACTGTTTGTGGAATTTTTGAACTTCATGAATTTCCTTTGCATAAGAAAAGCTCAGGGTGCTTGGAAAAAAAAATTGAAAAGACAAAAAACGTTCTGGCTTTTATTGAAGAAAAAATGAACATGTACAGAATTTCTTTCCCCACAGAATTGCTGGTTGACTGGAGATCAACACTTCAACTTCTGATGTCTCTCTTTTAAACTGTACATCGTTGTTTATCCTTTGCTGATGATGCATGTCTTTTTGTCACTACCATCTGTTTTTCTTATTGCTTAGGTACAATGTGGTGATGTCGAACTTGAGAAAAAGATAGAAGAGAAGATTGATCAATTCATAAGTTGGGTAGAGAAACATCCGAATAAGAAAAGCCAGGTAGGCAGTTTGCTGCATTCTTGAAGTTGATCCAACCAAACTGTTTACTGGTACAAGGATTTGTCTTACAGTTTCTTAAGACATTGCTTTTATTTCAGTAGGCCATTTTTTTATTTATTTTAATGTTCGCAAGTGTTAATATTTGAAATTGTATTTTGTGTACACTACATAGAATTGGTGCATGCATTTCAGACATCGTCATCATTAGGTGCAAGTGTCTTGGGACCAAAATTCTAGTGCTTATGCATACTAAATCACTGGATGCTTAGCATACTTCTTCATGTGATAACCATGAATTGGAAGGGTTACACTTGATTTCTGCTTCTAATATTATTTCCATAACTTTGCTCTTTCACTTGCAAATTAGTGATTTTCATCCCTTATAATCTTTATATTGTTTGTTGACTTCTGGCAGATATGCTTATCTTTCTATGAAGAGAAAAGCAAACATATAAAGTGGTTGCCCAAATCTGACCACCGCCTATATTGGGAACAGTGGTATGTCAACTTGCATGTGACTCAACATCCTAAAGCACACTCTGGAAAGTCTCATCATTCAAAACCAATGGTTGACCCAGGAGGTGATGTCAGAATTGTGTATTAACCTGATGAATTATTAATGCTAACCCCCTAATTGCTGAAGTCTTTTCCCCCTAACTTTTCTGCGTTTTCAACATGATTACAGAAACTGTATCTGAGGACAGGGGTGTTCGTAGGGCAGCACTTGAAGCATCTCTTCATGAGGTTTTATTCCAAATAATAAAATTTGTGAATGAGAAAAAGGATCATGTTCCCCCCATAAACGATAGCGTTATCTGTTTTCCTTGTGAAATTACCATCCCAAGGTCAGTCCTTTTAATTTGTCCACGAATATGTGATACAAATAATTTCTTCATAAAAATTTACTTATCACGCATGTATCTGAGCTGCAGCATGTTGTATGCCTCTCTTTATTGTACTGCTTATCTTTTGTTCTTTGATTTTTTTCCCTTCACTTTAATCTCTGATTTTGTTGTGGATGATTTTTTGCAGCAATTGTTAAACATTATATCTGTATAGTTGTATTCTTGTTCATGGAAGTTCTTTTTCTGAAGCCATTGTACCACTTATTTGTTTCACGAGTCCTTCAAACGGAACAAACCAAGATAGAATCAGATGAAAAGAAACATTTTAGCATTCAAAGTTTTAGATGGAAGTGAGGAAACTGAATGCAAGCAGTAAGAGTGAACAATCACAATTCATGAAAAAGGCATTTATCTTAAATTCATATAATCGGCAGATAAGGTTTGGTAATTGCTTATGTCAGTGAAATGACTGCCCTGAAGCTTCATGTCTAATGCTCATTCCTTGTGGCCTTTATATGCTATTGTTTTTTGTTGCTTATATCAATTGTTAATCCCAAGGGGAAAAGGAGGTTGTGGTGTCAATGGGAGTGAGCAACTGCTCTAAAAGATGTACCTCTTAAAATCAGTCAACTCCGAATGATGTTCGGTAATTTGCTGAGATAAGGAACTAGGCAAAAATAGAGGTGGATAACTAGGTAAATGCAACACATCGAAGAAGGCTTCATTTATAAAAGATGCTCCAATAGCTCTATTTAGTCTGATTGGAGTCTATATCATGCCTTGTGGATACTATAGGTTATTGCTTTACAAGCTTAACTAGATTATATGAACCGAAATATGTCACTTATCTCGAGGGAAGAAGAGATTTATACTAGCTATTGCTTTAGACATTGATCTGCTATTCTGTGCATAGTTGTGTGTGGTAAGAAGGATAGACAGAATGAACTTAATGGTTTGTTGAAGAAAAATCTTTAAAGCAATAGTGGCAGAAGCACAATTTATACTCCATTGGAGAAAATTCTGAATGAACAAAAATAGCATCCAGTGTGCCAAAGCGATTTACAGGTCTTATTAGTTGATACTGTGAACTACTTTTATTCTTGTTGTTGGCAACAATGCTTGGACCATGGTTGAGTTGGGGGAAATATAACACCAAACCCGCATCGATAGTGAACTACCTTTATTAGTGGCCCTCATTCATGTTGTACAAATGCAAGTTAAATTAACAGGTCCAGTTGATTGGACCCATTTACACCTTGATGCCAACAAAAACCACGTCCCCTGGTTTAGCAAGGTGGATTTTACCTGATAAAGAAATCAAAGAAGTCCGTTACCATCATTTTAACTAACAAGCTGCAATTATTTTTGCTCTAGCTGTAGTTGGAAACTACTAGGATTCATTGACTGCCTTCGAGGTCTTGCACTTGTCTTGATAACAAGATATTGTTGTGTCATCATTTCTCTTTGTTAGGAAATTTCTCTGGGGCTCATGATTAGACTGCTGAGTTAACAATATACTGCCATTACTCAGTTCATCGGATTCTTCTTTTGGGATTGATGTGCTCAAGAGGATGCTACAGACCGGGCATCCAACCATGCTCAACTGATGATAATAGTTGGCCACCTGAACTGCTTCGTCGTCTACTTGGAGGTAAGAAGATTCTATTATGCTCGTGATATCTCGAAATGTGTACATATCAGGTGGGCGGCCTTGTGCAGACTTATGGGGGCAACCAGGGGTTTGAGTCTCCCTAGGTGCTTGTTTAGATGCATCATCTTCTGGAATATTTGCCTTTTATATCCTACCTTTTACCCTTTTTTCCACTTTACTGTCTCTGTTGTCAGTCTTAAACTGCAATATATGTACAATTGTTGATTCCAGTGCGATAACGTATTGTTGTATTATGTTGCAAGTGTGCCGTTTTTTTGCAAGGGTTGCAATGCTTGAATGATTAGACACTTTGGCTCCAAGCAATGCGTCCAATTTGGATGCCAGTAAACTTCATTCTCTATCCAACTAAGTGCTTAAAAATCCTGATAAAAATGGTATAATTTCGAGCTAGCTCTCTTAGGCCCAAAGTCGTTGGATTTATCTCTGTAATTATTATTGAGTTTTCGGGCCAGCTCTTGCTATTTTGTAGCATCAATTCAAATACCCGGTTTTGCTTTTCTGAGACCCAAAGGCATTGTTGGACTCCATTGTTTATTTTGAACTACGTAGAATGATGAAATGATGGAGAGCGATAATCATTTTGTTTTAGCTATAAACTAGTTTGGTGGGCCGCGGCATCCAAAACATATTGAATGGGAGAATATATATACATATATATTTCATTTAATTTAATGATTTTCTTTTCAAAGTTTTATATCTAGTTGATTATTTCTCATCTTTTCTGTAAATTTCAGTGGAAAACATGATTTATTATTATTTTTTCATGTATGGCTTTTTAAATAAAAATTTACAATAATTTAAAGAGCAAGTTCAAATGGAAAGGCAAAGAAAGATGCTTAATGATACTTATGAGATTGTGTTTATAAGTAATGAGGTATCATCGGGTTAGTTTTTATATTAATCAAGATTAAGTTCATCATTTTTTAGGTTAAGTCGGCGTTAGAATACGCTTAACATTTGATCGACCACTAAACTTCTTCGTAGATCAAATGAGCTTAAGTCTAGTACTACTAAAGAATAATTATGGTAATTATCATTGGATAGTGAGAATTGAACTTTAATTTTGGTCGAATCAAAACAATTTTTTTGCCGATAAATCACATTTTTTGTGGTGTAACAATTTATGATCAGAATAATAGAGAAAGCAACTGCTGAGTTTCGTACAAGGGCCAGGAAACTGACATGATTTTAAATTTTGGAATGATAATGAGCAGCTTAAATGATGAAAATGGTATAACCAGACTTTTGGATACTGTTTGTGCTGTGATGTATCATAGAAAGTAAAAGTTATCACCTTGCGCTCGTCTGAATTCATCATTTTCAGATCCTTGACAATCTTTTCTCCTAATTTTTCTTTCTTTCCTCGTTGTTATGAAAGTTATCTTTTGTGTTGATTTTCTTATAACGGTTTTACTTAATAAAATAATTCATGATTAGTAAGTTTTTTGGTCCAAGCAAATCACCTAACAAATTAGGTGACATGTCGTTTATGTGTATTTCTAATTTATCTGTTGCAAACATGTCTTTTCACCATCTATAGACTTACTCATTGTAAACTTATATAAATGAACCAATTAAGAGATCTCTGATCATTGTGCATTCTTTCTTTCAGTCATAAACTCCTTTTCTTCTCCAAAGTTCTCTCTCTCTCTCTCTTCTTTACCATCCATCCTAATAACCTTCTTGAAATCTATTACTTTGGACCTTCATTCCATAGATCATATTAATATATCTTGAGATTTTTTTAAATAATTGTCTTTTTCAAAACGCTGACTTTTTGCAACTTTAGTAAAAATATGCAACTCTAAAAACTTAAATACGAGTCTCTACAACTCTACAAGCCTAAATAGAGGTTTTGGCAACTCTACAAGCTCAAATGAGAGTTTTTTCATTATACGAACAACGATTGGTTTTTGTTTTAGGTCACTTAGTATATTTTCTAAAGTATTTTCATAATATGTAATGCTCTTTTATTGATGGATGGAACTCATGTGCTCTTAGTACTTGGTTTGTTTTATTTAAAGCTAAGGTCATGCTTGCATTGTAATCTTGTTTAGCCATTTTTTCTAGCATAATTATTCAAAGTTTGATAATACTAGATTTAAAACAAGCTCGGCTATTTTTGTCTTTACGGTCACATTCAATATATGCAATGTTTTATTCTAACCAATATATATCTCTCTTTTTAATGCTAACATTGAAGTTTTAGTTTTATAAGTAGTAGCTATGCTTCAAATAAAACATAAACTTTTCTTATATTCTTTACAAAAAACATGATTGCATTTGATTCTTATAAGAGATGAAAATTATTTAATCTACATGAAATTTAGGAATATGAATATAGCTTTCAATTGATATGATCTTAACAACCAACTAGGATGACAATTATTATGGATTAATACGATAGTCATATGGATTTTTATTGGTTGCTTTCTATCATTTTTATTATGGATGTCGATAAATTAAGAACTCGAGATTCAACACACTACCAAGAACAACTCAATTTAATAGAAAGAAAAATAACATAAATGCATAAAGATAAATAAAGAGTGGACACATAAAATTTAACATAGTTTGGTAAAATCCTGCCAACTCTAAAACTTGAGAATAATTATTTATTGAGAAAAAATTAGTGTAAGAATCTTGATTATAATTTTTATACCCAAAGCTTCATGTCCACCCATTATCATACTCATATAAAACCTCTCAATCCTTGTATTTTTACACATTTTAAAAACATACATCTACTCGGATATTTATAATGATCAAAATTCTTGGTGAACAAAGAATTCGTGGAGGACAAGACAAAGAATCCTTTGTGGATAAGAAGTCTTTGGTCAATACTCTACTCTATTTACTTGGCTATTACTTTAAGGAATATGAGACATACCCAACAATCCTCACCTTGGCAAACATTCTTGCCATCCTGAAGTTTGTTGGCTCTACCACCTACTTACAAATACCTCAAACAAAAATATATAAGTAACCATTGGTTTTAAAATTTATCAACTATATAGGACTTGAATCAATAAAAAATCCCGAACTTTCCTTAACGTAAAAAACACGACTAATGCCCATGTGCAACTACTTGAGTCAAATTTACTTATTAACTCCAAAGAGGATCCTCAATCCATCATCTCTCTTAATAGAATCTTTTGATCCGCACTCATCTAGAACTTGAGAATGCATCTTTTCTTTGTCTCTATTTCAACCACTAAAAGACTTTTTTTTTAAGGTAGCTACTATCTAATGCACTCCATTACGAGTCACTTCTCGAAGTCATTATCTTTTCAATCAAACGATATAAACCATCACACTTTTTTTCTTTTTATTAGGACTATATTGCCATGTGTGACTTTTAAGACTTCATTTGTAGTGGAAAAAATATATTTGGAGTCTATTTGGTCATCGTCGATTCCTACACATCTTTAGGACATACCACCCAAAGTACGAACACTCGTATCAAATATTTTGATTTTTACCATTCCTAGACCCATAATATCAAACTTTTCTCATATTGTAAGAGTCGAACCTTCATCCATGACATTATTGATAATGTTATCAATAATATAGAGTCAAATTGCGCTCGCCCACCTTAATTTCAACTCTTCCCACTCATGCTTCTCCATCTCTTCTACCTTCTCATCTTTTTCTCCAACGCTTTAGCCAAGACTTGTTGAATAAGAATGTCTTTCACCCTTCGTTGCCAAACAATAAAACTTTCTTTTCCATTAAATTATTCCATAGTATAATGAAGTTTGCCGTGTGCAAACATTTTTTGCAACTAAAAGCCGAATATCCCAAAATCAAAGCTCGATACTAGTTTTGGGAATGTAAGGATCCAGGATACAGCACATCACTATGAATAATCCAATTCAATATATATATATATATATATATATATATACAGAGATGAATAAAATGAATAAACAATGAACACATAAGATTTAATATGGTTTAAAAAATAGTGTGTACTCTACAAATGAGAGAGAAATTATTTATTGAGAAAAAAACAAGATAGTAATATGATTGTAAATTTTATACTCAAAACCCAATCCAAAGCCTCTTGTACATCTACTCTTACGCTTAAATAAAATCTCTCAATCCTTGTTTTTTTAGACATTATAAAATTATACTTCTACTCATTTATTTATATTGATCAAAATCTATGGTGAACAAATAATTCTTACTGAATAATTTTGTTTTTGGTAAAATGATTTGACAAGCCTCGAAAAGCATAGATAAATATAAAAAAGGCCAGAAATTTTCAGAAAAAAAAAAAAAACTTTCCATAAACAAATGAGTAAAATTTTAGATTCAAACTCTGAAATGGATAAATGAAAATTTGAGATAGAAAACAGCTATTCTATTGTATAATCCAAAATCTATTGAATCTTCCAAAAAAACAAAAAGAAAAAACAGTTTCGTGGTCCGTCTATGAGTGAAGGTGTAAGTTAAGGATCGGATAAGTAACTTTGTTGCCCACTGTTTTAATGGAAGAGTGCACCCGATCACTTATATTGGTGCTTGATGGTGACAAGCGACAACTGTTAGGCACTCACTAGCATTCAAAGGAGACGAGCAATTCTTTCACATAACTGTTAGGCACTTTCATGAGTGCTCCTTCAAAGAGTAGTCAGCGAAGATATAAAATAGTTACTCCATATATTTATTTTTTAAAATATATTAAAAAATATTATATTCGGATTTATAGAAAATAATAATAAAATTTTCATATTTATTTAATTTTTTAATTTTTTTCTCCTATTTATGTTTATCTAATTTTATAGAGTAATTTATATTGATTATTTCTTAAGTATTATAAATATTTTCAATTTATAAGTGCTCGCTCACATATCCATAAGTTTATATATATATTAAACAATTTATATTAAACAATTTGTGAATTCATTAGAATCAACCTTAAGAGAATTTATTAAAAAATTTTAAATACATCCGATAGTAGATGTATTTTTATAATTACAAAAAAACTTGATATCAATTAGAATAAGGAATGTTAATGGCACGTTCTGTCTTTTTGACAAAAAAGTAAACTAAAATTCGAACATTCGTTATAAGAAGTTCATGTAATCTTGCCATTCGTGAGCTACATGTGGAAATGATGTTTATTGACTATGATTAATTAAATAAAGACTAATTTAAATCATATAATAATAATATAATATGTTGCAACAATTAACCCTTGTCTTAAAGTACGAGTTAATGTGGGAATTGTTGGCTGTGGAAACTTTTCCTCTCCCAAAAACCTTTAAAAATTCAAAAAGAAATATCTAAAAAATAAAACAATTCTAAAAATTTTGTTAAAATTTTTTATTTATTTATAGTTAGAAATTTTTTTCCATTTTTTTTAAAATGGATTTTTTCACTTTATTTTAAAAAGATAAAAAACTTGATTATTTTTTCATTTTCTTATTAACGTATGCTAGACTTGTTAATATTTATTTTATTTTATTTTTTAGCTAACTGTTTATTTATTTACCAAAATCTTTTTTTTGTGTTTAAGAAAAAAATTTAAAAAATTCTAACATAAATACAAAAATCAAAGAATAATGTCTAGCAATAAACAAATTAGAAGTTGCCATAATTTTTTTTTTTTTTTTTTTGAAATCGAAGTCAACAAAAAGCAGGCATGTGTCCCCCTCCAATAGAAAACCGACACATGTCCTTCAAAAAAAAAACTCAAAATTAAAGAAATTTTTGATTTACTATCCGAAAGCATCTCCCCTACGTGAGGTATCAAATCATAAAAACCTATTTGTTGCAATGGAAATCATAAAAACATCTTTGTCAAAGATCGATGTCGTAAAAATATCTAGTGTCATTAAAAACGAAGAATGTATGCAGAATAAAAACACAGTTGATTTGGTATCACTCTCTTATTGCAAGGATAGTTGGTAGCTTGTCGATATCAAACATCGAAAAAGTAAGGAGTAGATTTTTTTTTTTTTTTCTTCCCTGCCATTTGTAGACCCGAGAAAACCAACCTTTTTTATATTCTATACTGTTATTTTCAGTCCTAGGCTGTTATATCAAATACAAACCAATCCCTAAATATTCGATTTGTACAAAATGGAAACGATCTTAAAAATTAATTTAAATAATAAAGAGCAATGTAAAGTAATCATAGAATATTTTAGTCATAGCAAAACTATAATTTAGTATTCTAGAGGTAACGAATAATTGATCAGTTAATTTTATCTTTATAATATAATGTAAATTATAATTTGATATTTTAAAAATAACGAGCAATTCATCGGTTAATGAAGAAATTGACAAAAGTATTTAATTAACGAGTTTTAAAACAATCAATGTATTCAAATAAAAAAAATCAAAATTCACCTACTCGATTGAGGAAAAAAGAGTAAAACCGTAATTTAATATTATGAGATAACAAAAATGTTATCGGTTAACGAAAAAATTAATAGAAGTACCTGATTGGTAATTAAAAAATAGATGTACTCAAACAAAAAAAATTACAATCCATGTACTCGATTGAGAAAAAAATACAAATTATTGTATTTAACACAAAATAGCATAACTAGGATGTTTATGGATTGCAAAAATATAGAAAAAAGAAAATAAAAATAAATAGTAGAGATCTTTTAAATATAAAGTATGAGTATAGGGATGCCCTTATTAAGCATAAACCCTTGTTATTTCTGACTGTTGTTAGTGCTATTGTATCTCTTTTATTATATTGTTTTGATGCTCAATTAAAACTTATATTCCCTCTATATTAGCTTTGGTGACCCTCATCAGTTTTAAAATGTCAATAAAAATTGACTTTGACCAATTTTTTTAATAGTGGTTTTAATGATGGAAAAAAAAATTTAATTAAGTTTTAGAAGGATTAAAGTTTGGGTTTTATTCAGATTTGGTCTCTCTACTCTATTAATTTTTTTTTTAATCAAAACCTTATACTCTTTTTCGTATTGATTTAGCCTTTTTATTCTTATTTTTGTACTAAATGAGTCCCTCCATTTACACCGTTTTAGTTTATATGTATACATTATAGTTTTATATCAGAATACCAAGTTGAATGTTTGACGACCAACAAAACAATAACTCTTTTATTTTATTTTTTTATTTTCTCATTTGGTGTAAAAATTAAATAATTAAAACAAAATATATTATTAAGAAAAAAAAACCTAAACGAAATTATTTAATTAAAATAAATTAATTTTATGATGAAATCAAGGGATAAAAGAGAGAGAGGACTGATATATTCTTTGTTATTTTTTTATTCGAGATTTCTACTTAATTTTCCAGTTTTAAATGATCGAACATGGTATTAATTACAAATTTTTAAAGTATGAGGACTATTCTGCAGTATACTGAGGCCCTTGAAGCTTAATAAATCGAAATCATTTGACTTCCCATTATCGCTATATATATAGTATATAATCACATCCTGGGTATAGAGTCTCTGAGGTTATAATTGATCAGAAAGCAAGGAATTTAGAAATGGAGAAGAAGAAACACTTTGTTTTGGTTCATGGAGCTAGCCATGGTGCTTGGTGCTGGTACAAGCTTGTTCCCCTTCTCAAATTGGCTGGTCACCATGTCACTGCTTTAGACCTTGGTGCTTCTGGGGTCAATCCAAAACAGCTAGATGAGCTTGAGTCCATTTCTGACTATGTTCAACCATTAATGGAATTCATGGCCTCACTTCCTCAACATGAGAGGGTGATTTTAGTTGGTCATAGCTATGGTGGCTTTGCTTTATCACTAGCCATGGAGAATTTTCCTGAGAAAATCTGGGTAGCTGTTTTTGTCTCATCCTTTATGCCAAATTATACTGATCCACCAGCAACGCAAGTACAAGAAGTAAATATCTCGAATCCTTGCCTATGTTAATTAATTGTATATGCATGTGTGCTAATTATATTTCTTCCTTACGCAAATTCATTATGACTTATTTTCTTTGGCATTGTTGAAGAAAAAAATTAGAATTTTATTGAATAATTGGCATAAACAGAAGCGATTAATCCTTGTAAGGTTTATACAGAAACACAATGAGAAAAATATAGCAAATGGGTGATTTTTAATTTTCTTGAATTGCTCCACTGGTATTTAATCTTCTTCTTAGAATGAGCGAAAACAATTAATCTCTGTAATTAACAAGTAAATTCAATGGTTAATATTTGATTTTCTTCATTAATTTTAATTTGTCGATTCTCTCTTTTGTAAACTAGTATTTGAAGAGGCTATCAGAGGAATCCGTATTAGATAGCCAGTTCAAGTTTGATCGAGGGCAAGAAAACCCGCCAACATCAGTTTCTCTGGGGCCAAAGTACTTGGAAACCATTATGTATAAGAACTGTTTACCAGAGGCAAGTACACAATCAACAGGCAAAGTCAAATCTTCACATGGATGCTCGATAATGGCGTTTGATGTGAACATATATTTTGGCTGTTTCTTGTAGGATATTGAGTTAGCCAGAGTGCTGATCAGGCCCCACAAGTTTTTCTTGGAAGACTTGGCCAAGGAATCTTTGCTAAGTAAAGCTAAATTTGGATCAGTGGAGAGGGTGTTTGTGGTGTGCAAAGAAGATGGAGTGTTCGGGGAGGAAATTCAACAATGGATCATTGAGAATAGTCCAACAAAAGAAGTTAAATTCATTGAAGGTGCTGCTCATATGGTCATGCTATCAAAGCCCAAAGATATTTGCCTGTGTCTCGAGGAAATTGCAGAGAAGTATTTGTGAATTTTTGTCTTCAAATAGCCATATCGTTATCAGGGAAACCAAGATCAACCCGCGCTTGATTTGCTCAGGGCAAAAAGCCATATCGTTATCATGGAAACCAAGATCAATCAGCATTTGATTTGCTCAGCGTGGAGTGGGTTAGGTGTCCTTTATGGCTTTGGACTTATTTACAGGTGGGTTTAGTTCACTATAAATAAAGTGTTTAGGCTTATTGTTATTAGGTGTGTTGTGTATACGTAGAGATGAAAAATCAGTATGCATGTGGGCTGTTCTGGGCACAGCTATTACAGTGAAATTAATTAATGTGTGTTGTGTAATTAAGATATTTTTGAAAAGGATTTAATTTCTATTCACTCGTGACCTAACTGGAACATACCCTCAACATACAATGAAAAAAAAATTATTTACTTTTGATTTATTAAATAAAGCGTCTGGAGTTTCGTATTTTATTTTCCTACACATTTTTGTATATTGACTATTTATTGAGCATTTTATCTCAAGTAATTATAATTTGGAAGCAAAACTCTCATAATTTATTGCTTATCCCACGCAACTTGATCACACCTTCTATTATACAAAGGTTAACAAATCAAAGGTTACAAGTTTTATCTTTTAAGCTCAAAATAGCTATAATATCAACTATCTCTTACATGTAAAAGTTAAAGGTTTGTTCACTAACCTATTTAAATAGTTTAAAAAATTAAGTTGTAATACTTAATATAAAAATTTTGTTTGATAATATAAATAATTGCATATTTAAAATTTAAATTCAATCAAAATTTACTTAATTAGGTAAGTTAAAGTTTTTAACTTATTATTTTTTAATTAAAACGTTCAGTTGAAATATTTTTAAAACTTTTTAAATATGATTGTATATTCCTTATATATTTTTATAACTTTAATTGTACAAATCAATTGAAAAACAATCTCTACTATCCTTATTATTAAAACAGAAAAAACCTTTTTCATCATCGATGCTTCCATCTTTACATCAACAAGCTATTAGGAATTTGAGAGATATTTTTGTTTTATCAAGTGCCATAAAATATGCAAGGAACCCTCTTTCATCACACCGTAAGTTCACAATTGTTTCTTAAAACATATAAAGATAAAACGTGAAATCCAAAGATGGGGATAATGGTGGGAAGGTTGTTGCAGAGAGAGACAGAGGAGCCGTCCTCTCTTTTTATACATAGTATTTTTTATTCATATTTTTTTGTTAAAAATATTTTATCAAATTTAATCCACCATTATATGACATCAATATTAATTTAACAAAAAAAATTATTCAAAATTAAGATGATATATTAAAAAAATTATTAAGCTAATTAACAATAAAATTTAAAATAATTATGAAAAATAACATACTAATGAAAATATCTTACTTTCAAAATTTATGCAGTAAAATTTTTACAAAAATGAATAATTTTCATTTAATATTTTTTTAAAAAAATTATATTGAAAATATTTGTATATATAAGAAGAAAGTATACAAAATATTGATTTTTTATAATGAAAAACATGAAATGAAAAAAAAATTGAATTTCTTTATCAATTAGGGGTGATTTTCAACACTTTCATCTTCTTCTCTCCAAAGTCTGAAATAACGAAAGAGAAAAATAATAGGAGCTCTAAATTACCAAAAAATCATCCATAATCTATCATTTCAAATATTGAATGTATCACAAATGAAGTGTAAGTAAAATATATACCTGCTTAACTATAGAAAGTTTCTGGCAAGTCCAAAGCCTTAAATAGCTCCAACCATAATCTACCTTCAGCAAACACCCACACACTGCTGACCGACACATCCAGAGATCGTAGGAAGCTATTTTGCATCACAAAATTCATTTGCACCACAAAGGATACTCCAATGCAGCAAAGAAGGCTCCTTAGAATGGAATAACTTTCATCCATGTTCTCTTGATTTGTTGTATCGGGAACATCTGAAGACAATGGACCTAAAAAAAAAAAATGAAAATAGAGAAGGTTTCCTTTTTTTCTTTTTTTTCTCTCTCAAGACAATGACCTATATCTATCCGTAGTTCGGAGAGATATTGTTATTGCATATTTTGTAATGCATAATTATCTTAAAAGAATAATTATTACCGATAGTTTTTTAGAACAATTTGATGACGATTATGTTATGCATCAAACATCAAAAGTTACTCGTAAATTTACCATTCATCATAAGAGGGATACAAGCACGAGCCGATCAAACATTTATGATTAATTTGTGAGACCAAATTGCAAATAAATTGATTATTACTTGAGATTTCATTTATTTTGTGCATGATACGACAATTAATGTTATTTTAGAAAGCGTTTAATTTTTTATTAATAATCATTTTTATTGAATTTTTATTTATTTATACACACAAACACATTTATGTATATATTTTTATTTGTGTTAAAAAAATATTATGTTACAATTACAAGGTTAAAATTGTCATGTATGTAGCCTTAATATGTTCGAGCATTGGTACTTATCAAACAAGCTTATTATATTCAACACTTAATTTTCGGTAAATACCAAACAACTTGTCGGGAATGTCATAACCCAAATTTTCCTTTAAAGGAAAAAATCAAAAAAATAAAAAAAAGAATAATTAAAAGAAAAAAAACAAAAAAAGGAAAAAATATAAAATCTCCAAAAAATCTATTGAAATCTTCCACCGATCTTTTTTAATTAGAATCTCCTTATTTTTAGCTAGAAAAATCTCAAATTTAAGATTCGATAATTAAAATTTGATTTTATTTTGGGAGAAATTTTAGGATGTTTTCGGCTTATAAAAAGCTTTCGGATTTCAATTTGCGAAAAAAGGAGAAAGGGGAAAAAAAGAAGAAGAAAAAACGCAGAAAAAACAAAAAAAGAAAAAAATACCGAAAACCTAAAAAGAGGAAGGCAAACACGTCCTAACCCATCAAACCAAACCCGATTACCCATTAACCCTCGAAAACTTTGAGCCCCAATTGATCGTTTTTCGATCCGATTTTGACCCCGATAAACACACCCACGTGTACACCATCACTAGATCGACCGATCCATACCCATTGAGAGAGAAAAACCCACGGAGGAGAGAGAAATTGAAGTTTAAACCACCACGACCCGACCCGAAAACGATACCCGATCGTTGCTCTCAACTCCGATCACCAACACAAGATCCATCACCACGGACATGATCGCCCATCTCCTCCGAGTAATTCCATTTAAACATCTCGACCCAACGACATCGAAAAACGGTTTAATTGACCCCGACCCGTTTTGATAAACCCGAAAAAATTGGCCGATCTAGGAATAATTGGAGGTCGTAACCACCACATAACTTCTTCTCACGACCGTGCGAGTCGACCGGTGGGTTTGGAATCCGGATAGGAGGTCGGATTCATCGCCGGTGAAGAAGGGAGATCCGCCGAACCTTTGGAGGCTCCGATCTCCCTCCTCCGGCGTCGTCTTCGATTAGAACCACCGCCATTGGAGTCGCAATGGCCGGATCTACAAGGCTGGGTGGTCCACGCGCCGAAGCGAGCATCGGAAGACGAACGGTCGCTTGGTAGTGACTGCGGGTATTGTAGGGGCATTTTGGTAATTTTACGGTGTATGTGAATTTTGGACTTTTTTTTTAATTTTTCTTTTTTTTTATGTGTTTTGTAATATTTTTTTTTGTCTTATGCATGTTCGAAAATCCAAAGCTATTTAGTTGTGAAATTTATTCTAATATATGATTTTTTTTTATGTCATTAAAATATTGGATCAACGAGTCTCCTATTTATTAGGGACGGACGGTGATTTTAATACATTTAATTTCTAATTAATTTCAGTTAGTTAAAATCTTAGTTTTTTTTATTATTATTAAGAAAATAAAAAAAACTAGACAAAATATATATCAAAATTTTCGACCAAGCCTCTTATTTGATAGGGGTGACGTCACCAAAAATCACATTTTAATTAAGACGTCTTTCGACACGCCGGTTGTGTTAAGGCTTAAAGTGGATCCGATGTTTGAATCGACGTGTCAACCGACGAAGGGGACCGACGATCGTTTCAATACGATGCCACGCTCAAAACTAAAAAAAATTCAATTTGTTTAAAAAAATGAGAGATTAAGAGTCGGAAAATAATTTGATATTTTAGGAGATAAATTTAGAGCTAAAACCGGACGTGGTACCTTTCTTCGGAAAGGGCACTTTTGGGTGATCGACATCTTCCCAAAAGCGTAACCAACCCCTTACCATAGAATCTCCGAACCGATTGTCCGTTTTAGGTTCCTAGTTCCTTCAATACTAGGTGGCGACTCCAAAATCCGTAAATAAACTTGTAAATATTCAATTTAAATTTTAGATATTTTCGACGAGTCCCGTCCGACGTCGGGTAGCGACGGAATAGCGACTCCATTGGAGACTAGAGTTAGGCCATAGGTTTAGTTTTTAATTTATCTCCTACGTTTATTTTTGTCAATTTATTTTCCGAGTTTTATTTATTTATTGATTTGTTTGTGTATATATGTAAATTTTTATCATTTATTTTTCTTTTCGCTACACGTTTATTTTTGAATTGGGTTGTACTTCTTTTCTTTTAACTCGTTGCACACACCACGAAGGAAACCTCTAAAAGCTCGGACCCGAGCTGAACCCTAATAGGATTTAGATAGAGTGATTTGAAGGCGAGTATGACGAAAGTCTGCGATGCTCTTCCAAACTCTCGTTTAGATTGAAACTCGCCCTATACATTGAAAATGGTGGAATAATCTTCCCTACCTCCTAATGTATAAGGTTAGAGGCTGGATTACCCCACTGGTAATTTAGGCGGTCTAGAGGCTTGAAAATCTTTAGGACTAGTCAAGCTTTGCCCAACCATAGAAAAGCTAGATCTTGTCTATTAGGGTTGACTCGATTAAGACACGAATCATTATCAAATGATGTCGATATCGACCCTTGGTATTCTAATGGTATTTTTGTAATTTTTAGTGAAGGTTATCCTTCGTGTTAAATCATAACCG